ACCATCGTCATTTAGTGTAATTCCGCTACTTTCATGTTTTTGTAAGTAATACGGTACTGGTAACTCAATTTTCATTGTTTCAGTTTGATAACTCTTGAGTATTTGTTGGATTTTGTAAATGTATGTTATGGCTTGCTGGTGTTGTATTTTTTTCCAATAAAAACATTGTTTTTGGGACTTATTGTTTGGTGGGTCTAAATATGGTGCGAAAGTATCTGATTGAAAAGTTTCGTCTGGTTCATCGTCAATCTAATGTTGGTTTTACTTTTGATCAGAGTTTTTTAATGTTCAGGGTTTTGTGAAAAATTTCTTTATTTTTCAAGAAGTGGTTTATGGTTATTTCTATTGTCGTGTTCAATAAAAAATTTGGATTGTTTTTTTGTTGGAAAATTGAATAGTTTTTAGTTTGAACTACTTGAGTGTTTTTTTAACATGAAAACTGAATGAAAAAGAGTATGTACTTTCAGGTTGTTGTTGATAATAACTATGATCAAGATTTTGGGATTGCTCTGTTTCTTCTGGGTTTGTTGTTGGGTTGCTAATATTACTTTTTGCGAAAAAAATTCGAATGAATGATTGCAAATTGGTGTCTTTTTTAGTTTTTTCTGTTGAAATATAGTTTATTAGTAAAATGTATGCAATCATTAGATGGATGGATTCGATGGGGTGGTTGGATCAGCTGTCGATTGTAGTTCGGATTGTTGGAACAGTGTATGTTCATTATGTGGTGTTGTATATGTAGGATGTTTTGGTGAGATACTTTGTTGTATTGTCAGGAGCATTGTGGGAACAATTTCCTCGTTTGCAAGTTGTGAGGTTGTTTGAAAATTTTGTTGACGTAGCGCCATTTTTCCGTCGCAATTTTCTTGCGCATGCATGAATCTTGAAATTGTATTTTTGTTGCTTGTTTTTTTTGTGAATTATTGTTTTGAAAATCGATAGCGTTAAATCTCTTGTTAATGGGAGAACTTTCAAAAAATCTCGAGTAACTGAAGTTGCTTGGATTGCTGAGCTAGAATTATAATTTGCACATTAATGAGCATATAATGATACCATTCAAGCTCCCAATCATAATGTTTTATCTGTCAAAATGTTTTTTTTCTTAAGTTGTACGGATTGTTTTCTTGGATTGGCTATGAGGTCTCCGTCATGTTGAAATTAGTCATATAAAAACCTTGCTAAAATTTTTGGAGGTTTGCTAAGGTCTTTGTTTTTAGAGAATCCAGTGATAATACTTGTGCATTGATGCAATATTTATTTAAGCAGCTGCCCTAAAATCAATTTAAAATAACTTCTGATCTGAAAAAGTAGAACGCTTGATTACTTTAAAAGTGAGAATAAAAGTGATTTAAATCATGGAACTTGACATTTTGTTTTCAATCCACATAACTCTAGAGAAAAATTAGAAATTAAAAGGAGTTGATTCAGTTTTGAGCGCAGTAGATCGATATCCGCAAAGAGGTGAAAAAAATTGAATCTAAACTGTGAAATTGAGAATCGTTCTCTTCAATCGGAAACATTCAATTGAACACATCATTTATACACATCAAAACGCTGTGTTCAGAGACAACTTATAACTAGGTTAATGAAACAAATTGATAACTTACCATTGCTCACGGAAACAATTTTTTGTTGTTAATTTTTCTCTGTAAAATGAGAACTGAAACTGGTTTCTTGAAGATAAAAAAGCGGCTTAATTGTGGATGTTAGAAGTTTTTGTTGAAAAAAAAACTGTTGCTGTAAAATATGGTCCCAAAACATAGATCAAAGTTCCCCAAACAGACTGAAAAAATCTGGCTTATATTATCATTAAATGATTTTTAAATTTCTATTGTTTCATCAGCAGCCCCCCCCCCCCCTCAAAAGAAGGGAATCGATTTGCTGTTTTGAAAGGAATGTTTAGGAATTTCAAAGCTTACTTCACTCAACAACTTATTTTGAACTTATTTTTGAATTTTGAATAAATTTTGATAAATCGAGTAAATTGTTCAATTTTTGGTTTCAAAATGAGTTTGAGTTTGAAAAATTTATTGAAAGGAAAATTTATATCACCACAAACATCAATATTTTTTTGAAATAAAAATGTTTTTCCAACATTATTGAACCGATTACATTAGAAATATTTTTTTTTCATTTTTTGGAAAGCTTATCACCACTCGTTGTGAAAAGTACAAAATGATGTTTTAAGATCTAGTCATGAAAAAGTTTGAAAGTACTCCTGAACCGGTGCTATTCGCGCTTAAGCGATGGTCAAAGCAAACTTATCGTGCAGTAACTATACCAAATTGGCCAAATTGGCAATATAAACCCCATATATTTTTCGAAACGCAGGTGAACCTTTTTCTTTTTACTTCAGAGAGTTGAAATCATTAACAAAGTGAAAAACAATACTCAAAAATTGCTAGTTGAAACATCGAATTTTTTTTAAAAGAAAACAACGAAACCGAGCATCGCAACAACGAAGCGATTTAAAGTGATTTATTTATTTGCGGATTATTTTTTTCTCAAAGTGAAAAACAATACTCAAAAATTGCTAGTTGAAACATCGAATTTTTTTAAAAGAAAACAACGAAACCGAGCATCGCAACAACGAAGCGATTTAAAGTGATTTATTTATTTGCGGATTATTTTTTTCTCAAAGTGAAAAACAATACTCAAAAATTGCTAGTTGAAACATCAAATTTTTTTAAAAGAAAACAATGAAACCGAGCATCGCAACAACGAAACAAACTGATAACTTACCATTACTCACGGAAACAATTTTTTGTTGTTAATTTTTCTCTGTAAAATGAGAACTGAAACTGGTTTCTTGAAGATAAAAAAGCGGCTTAATTGTGGATGTTAGAAGTTTTTGTTGAAAAAAAAACTGTTGCTGTAAAATATGGTCCCAAAACATAGATCAAAGTTCCCCAAACAGACTGAAAAAATCTGGCTTATATTATCATTAAATGATTTTTAAATTTCTATTGTTTCATCAGCAGCCCCCCCCCCCCCCTCAAAAGAAGGGAATCGATTTGCTGTTTTGAAAGGAATGTTTAGGAATTTCAAAGCTTACTTCACTCAACAACTTATTTTGAACTTATTTTTGAATTTTGAATAAATTTTGATAAATCGAGTAAATTGTTCAATTTTTGGTTTCAAATCTTTAACAAAGTGAAAAACAATACTCAAAAATTGCTAGTTGAAACATCGAATTTTTTTAAAAGAAAACAACAAAACCGAGCATCGCAACAACGAAGCGATTTAAAGTGATTTATTTATTTGCGGATTATTTTTACTCTGTTTTTCTTTCTTCTTTTTCTCCTGACCAATTTCGATTTTAAAACTAGCCATTTTTGAGAAACATTTTTCATAACATTTGAAAAAAATTCGTTATTTCGAGCTCAAAAATAAAAATCTATTATAAATTTGATCATGTTTTTGTTCATTTATGGTTGTCTTGGCTATTTGGATCAATTAGCGCGCGATATTTTTCGTTGAAAAAAAATTGAAAAAAAAATTTGAGATTTTATGTAAAAACAGAAAACATCGCCCCACACGTCATATTAAGTACAAAGTGATAGATTTTGCGCCTAATAACAAATCAATTATGGCATAAAAGCATCCTTGAACCAATTTGGAACAATTTCTAAGACGGATTAAATCTCCGCTTACGCGTTAATAGCGCGAAATTTATCGCGCGTTAATTGTCCCAAATTGGCCAAAATGGCAGTCTTTAAATTCTCGTAACTTTATGAAAAATGATCACAGGTAAAATATTTTTTCAAATTCAAGCTCAGGACCACAATAGCTTTCGAATGATGTTAAGAAATTCCGTCAAAAATGGCTAGTTAAAAAGACGAAATTTGTCTGAAGAAAAAAAAACCCACCCCGAGCACAAATATTCCGTTACTTTCGTATCGAAAGTCGGAACAACAAGGCATTCTAATTTGTTTAAATATTTCTTTAACATAGACAAAATGCATATCAGTTTGTAAATAATATAGGATATTGGAGAATTGATAAAAAAAGACAAAACGTTTTTTTGCCAAAATATACATCAAATTTATCAAAAACCTACATCAGATTAATCAAAAGGTAATCGGAACATTCACGCTTTCGCCCTGAACTTCTTTAAATACGAAATAAAGTGGTTTGGACAAATTATCGACAAGTACACGGAATGTGATGATACTGTTTTATATGTCCACTTTATACGGCTTTGCCAATCTATCATTGATTCACCAAACGTTTTTTTAAAGAGTCGATGAACTTGGTTCAGACTTTTATATACGCCGTGATGATTTTTTTAGATGCTCTAATAACAAAAGAAGTGCGTTCATGCTTTTAAATGCACATATGATTTCTCTGAGGTATATATGCAGTTTTTGAGTTCAATCTAAAATCCTTTGCTTGAAGATAAGCAAAATGCATTTACAATTATGAAAACTAAAATGGCGCAAAAAAAACATAATCGATTTCTAATTTCGAATCGGGAATTAATTTATAGATTTCCCAGCGGAATAAAAACGTCTCCTAAAATTCCAAGTTTCTCAAATCGGGTTAATTTTCATCAAAAAACACCAATTAGAAATTGCTCTAGAAATTCAAAGAAGTTGAAGGCAATATATCGTTTGCAATTCGGAAGTTGACGGTTTTCTTAAAGACAAATTTTTAAACTTCTCTGCGTCTTAAGACTCTTTTCGAACTGTCTTGGCTATTTTTGTTAGCAGCTCACCAAGCTTAAAGAAAACGCTGCGTTCAGATTTTCATTAAATTGAGTCCTTCGTTGTTAGTAAGTTAATAAAGCATCATAACTTTCATTCTTAAAGCATTGAAACTGAATCCGTTTATTCGGACTTTCGAAGAAAGTGAGGAATATAATTGACTTGTGTTCATTTTTTCAGACCAATTTCCAAAATAACGTGTATCTTCATGTTCTCAGCGGGATGGATATTTGTGTTCGCTGTCTTTCTATACAGACAGATTTGTTAATTTTTGTGCGTTTTTGTGTGCTTCAGGACAACAGCTACCTCTACTTGGCCTTGGAGTATGTGAATGGAGGAGAGATGTTCTCCCACCTGAGAAAGAGCGGCAGATTCAGGTAAGAATAAAGCGATCATAAATAAAGATTAGCACTGTGAGATCAATCAACTGAATTTACTTGAACAATATTGAACCTGAAACCTCATTCGTGACTTCTTAAGTTGAGAATTCGCGAGGAGGATTCACTGACTGCGTGTTTTGTGCAACGCATGATACTTGTGCCAACCTTTTTTTGCTTAATTTGCTTAAATTTTTGATACAATTTTTCATTGAAACAGAACTCATGTTTCCTTCAATGAAATTTGAAAAAATTTAAGAAACTAAAAAACTACAAAAAAAACATTGCGTTCAAAAAATCAAGTTTTAACCAAAACAAAACTTTAGGAAGGAAACATTATGCTGAAAAGATGCTTGATTTTAGTTTTTATTTATAAAACGTAGTCACTCCTATAAGATTGTTGTAGTGTTTATTTCTATTCAGTGAGAGTCGATCGCGCTTTTACGGATCCCAAGTACTCCTAGCTTTCGAGTACTTACACTACCTGGACCTGATCTACAGGGACTTGAAGCCAGAAAACTTGTTGATAGACCACAGGGGATATGTGAAGGTGACTGACTTCGGGTTCTGCAAGAAGGTCAAAGGCAGGACATGGACACTCTGCGGGACCCCGGAGTACCTCGCGCCCGAAATCATCCTCAGCAAAGTCAGGAGCGCACCTTAAAATTAGCAATTTATAAATTTGCACCATCAAAAATAGATCCTATTATTTTAGATATTTTGAAGAGTTAGAAATACTGTTGATATCGAGTAATAGTGATTACGGCTTGAAATTATCGCCAATTTATAACATATAATACGAAGTTTTAAAAAATGAGGTTTTCAATAAAATATAAGGTTTTCAATGAGTTTTTTAAATAAATATATTTTTATTTTTCAAGTTATTCAACAGCAAATAACAAAAACTTAAAGCACGAAGTGTGGTATTCTGAGATGATACCAAAACCTGAAAAAGAAACTTCGGAATAGAATATGTTATCATGTTTTCAAACTCATTGCTTTATATTGTAGGGCTACAACAAGGCAGTGGACTGGTGGGCGTTCGGAGTATTGTGCTATGAGATGACAGCCGGCTACCCTCCCTTCTACGCCGATCAACACATACTCATCTACGAGAAGATCGTCGCCGGAAAGGCAAGTGTCCACTCACTTTATAAACCCAAAAATGTATTCTTGTTACACTGAAAAGAGCACAAATTGAACTAATTGGGATTCAAAAACTGTCGCATTTCAGTTACGATTCCCCTCCCACTTCTCATCCGACCTCAAAGACCTCCTCCGACAACTGCTCCAAGTTGACGTCACAAAGAGATTCGGCGCCCTCAAAAACGGAGTTGCCGACATCAAAACTCACAAATGGTTCCAATCTGTAGACTACATCGCCACTTACGAGAGGAAATTGGAAGCCCCTTTTGTGCCCAAGTGTAAAGGGGCTGGGGATCACAGCAACTTCGACAAATACGAAGAGACCCCTCTTAGACATTCGATTAATAACAAGTACTCGAAAGAGTTTGATGATTTCTAGACTAAAGGTGGTTACGATAAATATGGGAGGAATGGAATCAATTATGAAACGCATCTGACGGGTTTTGTGCATTCAGAAAACGAATGAGCAAAAACAGAGGAGTCATACATATAGAGAGTATCATTTGCTAAATTGTGATTGGCTGCCAAATACTTACCAACAAATGGAAACGGCCACCATTGAGTGAAAGGTTGGGTATTGAATTGAAAAAATTGTAAATTAGGTCAAATATTTATTTAACATAATCAATCAGTCAATCATTCGTTATTAAATTAATTCTGATTTGTAAGATACGTAGAAGAAATAGATTAAAGAATAATCATTTTTAAAAATAAAAACTTAGTTATTATATTTCCACACTTTGAGCTCCGCTACTAAATATATAAAATTGCCGTTTCTCACCTTTTCGCGACAGAAAATCTGCAGGTTAAGATATATGCAGCTCGAAAAAAATCAGACGGGCGCGATTAAAGTAACTGGCACTACCAGCGTGCATCTAAACCATCAATTTTCGAACTTTCCTAACAAAAGTAACGGAATATTTGTGCTCGGGGTGGTTTTTTTCTTCGGACAAATTTCGACTTCTTAATTAGCAATTGGTTTTTCGTTGTGATCATTTGTCGTTAAGACATCACCTGACTGGGCCTATCGGGCCTTTCGATGGCCTCGCATACCAGAATTATGTAAATTGACACATGTCTATTGAATAATTTCTGATATGAAAACATTTGATTATTGTTCCGTCTTTCGCAACGAAAGTAACGGAGTGTTTGTGCTCGGGTGTTTTTTTTTGTTCAGACAACTTTCGACTTTTTAATTAGCAATTTTTGACGGATTTTTTGAAATTTATTCAAAAGGTAGGGTTGTCTTGAGCTTAATTTTGAAAAGATTTTTTACCTGTGATCAATTTTCATAGTGTTATGAGGGTTTAAAGATTGCCATTTTGGCCAATTTGGACAATTACCGCGCGATATTTTTTGCGCTATTAACGCGTAAGCAGAGAGTTAATCCGTCTTAAAATTGTTCCAAATTGGTTGAAAGAAGCATATTTACCAAAATTGATTTGCTACAGGGGCGAATTCTATCCTTTTGTACTTTATATGGCGTGGGGGGGATCATTTTCATAAAAATTTCAAATTTTAGAAAAAAAATCATTAAGCGGAGATTTAATTGTTGTTCCAAATTGTTGTCTCCTAGAAGTTGTTCCAAATTGACTGAACACAGCTTATTTGAATTAATTGATTTGTTACTAAGATACTAGGAGCGAACTTTATATGGCTTTTTATATGGCGTGTGGGGGAAGAGTTTCTCAAAAAATCTCTAATTAAAAAAAAAGTATTCATTTTTACAGTTAATTTTTTCATTTTATTACTTCTCCATAGACCTAAAAAGGCAGTCGGAACGGTACGAGCAGTTTTGCTTCGCCTTGATACGAGCAGTTTTGTATTTCCTTTAAACTTATGCTACTATGCAAATCGATTTACAATGCTATACAACGTATCAGTTTAGTTATTTCAGGATAAGTTAGTTTAAAACCAAACGAGTTCACATGTCCATTTTCTCGATTGTTTTTTAATATGGGAAGTTCTTGCTTAATCAATCAGCTTCATTACGACCTTAAGCTTGGCATTTTTTTTATTGGTTTGGAATCCTTATACACTGCCGCTTGAATCAGCGAAACATGTGCTGGGTTCAGTAACATTTCAAAAATCTTGGTGGAACTGAAAGACAAATGGACTTTTATTTTGGTCTTTCCCATTATAGACCCCAGCCTAGAATCAAAAAAAATTATAACCCCCTAAACCTTTTTCATTATAGACCCCAAACTTTCCTATTACAGCCCCCCCCCCCCCCCCGCCCCCATCAAAGTTTCTAAGTATACTAAAAGGCAGATCAAATAATTAATTTCATTGCTTACATTTGAGTCTGGTTTTATTGTATATGTTACATTGTAACATGTTTGTGGAATAGACCAATATTTCTCATTTTTTCTTCGAACACTTTTTTGTTTTTGCAATATTTGGAATAATCCAATTATTGTTCCGACTTTCGGTACGAAAGTAACGGAATATTTGTGCTCGGGGTGGGTTTTTTTTCTTCAGACAAATTTCGACTTTTTACCTAGCCATTTTTGACGGAATTTTTTATATCATTCGAAAGCCATTGTTGTCTTGAGCTTAAATTTGAAAAGATATTTCACCTGTGATCTTTTTTCGTAGAGTTATGAGGGTTTAAAGATTGTCATTTTTGTCATTTTGAGCAATTTGGGACAATTAACGCGCGATATAATTCGCGCTATTAACGCGTAAGCGGAGATTTAATCCGTCTTATAAATCGTTCCAAATTGGTTGAACGAAGCTTATTTGCCATAATTGGTTGGTTACAAAGAACGAAAGCTCTCTTTTTGTTTTTTATATGGCGTGTGGGAGGATGATTTTCATAAAACATTTCAAATTTTAGAAAAAAAAAATTTCATTTTATTTTATTTCATTTAATTTTTTTATGCTATTACTGCTGCTCCATAAACCTTAAAAGCTAGTCGGAACATTCAGGGCTTCGCCCTGATACGAGCAGTCTTGTTTCCCATTTATTTTTCGTGATGTCTACTATTTTGACTAAATTTATCGTAGCCATAAGAAATTAACTGACAGATGATATTAAATCAACTAGGCGATGTCAAGTTGAGGTCTAGGTGAGGCAGCTTGATTTGACACTCAACCAAAACTCACTTCACACGAAAAAGAAGTCATCGATATAAATCAACTTAATATCATAATTGAATTATTTCCATTAAAATAAATTTCAGTATATAAAAAAGTATAGATTAGAACGGATAGTATGTATATAATTGGAACGTTCGGGGGGGGGGGGGGGCTATAATGGGAAAGGTTGGGGGGATATATATTAATGGGGGGGCGGGCTATAATGGGAGAGACACTCTTAATTCGTTTAATAAAAAAAAGTTTTGCAAGGTGAAGAACTTTACTATTGTGAACACATTTTTTTCATAGCTTGCTTCCTGACATCGAGCATTCAGCTATAATGACACATAGAACAAGAAAATAGTGAAAAGTTAAAATTAGGGGGGGGGGGGGGGGGGAGGAGTGAAAAAGAGCCTTAAAACCCAAGATTTCACTGTCTGTCACTGGATTCAGAAATCGTTATCTTACTTTTGTTGCTGGTTACGTTAACTTGTCAAAGGAATCCCCAGTCAAGTTATTTTTTGTCGCCGGGTCAATTTTTAATGTTGGACCCATTTTTAACTCATTTTTCTAGATACTGAAATAAAAATATTTCCTAAATTTTCCAAAAATCCGTCGCGTTTTCCACATTTAAGACCATTTTATTTGCTAATAATACAATTGAAAGCTTTAATTTTATCCATTTAAGACAATTACTTCAGCAAAAAAATCCCTTTTTTTTAAAGTTACGGAATATTTGAGCTCGGTCTTTTTGCCAGATAAATGCAAACTTTTTATGCAGCTAATTTGGAGTGTCTCAGACCTTCTGAAAGATGTTGATTTCTTCAACTCAAAACCGGAAATCAATATAAGTTCAGACAAAATGTTGTTAAGTTATGCGGATTGAACTTTGGACTTATTTTTACCCTTTTGAGATAACAAATGCTGGTTTTGTTCTTCAGAAGCATGAGCGAAAAATTAAAAAGTTTAAACTTGCTCTTACTATTATGTTACCAGACGCAAAATATCATTTTCTATTTTCCACAGTTTGTAGGTGAATAAAATGGAGAAATAAAAACCGAAAACAAAAAAAAATCCACGCTTCCTATTACTACCGTTGTTTTTTTGATTACTGATGAAAGGCAGTCAGAACCTTCAGGGCTTCACCTTTATAGTGTTGATGCAGTGTTCACTTAAATCTAGCGAAGCCACTACAATTATTGCTGGGAATTGCTTCGAGAACGGTTGTCCTTTGTTAACAGTTGCTCTTTCCTTCTTGTCAATGCCCGCGGTTATCGAGATCTTGAAAGTCGCGGCATTCCTTGAAAATTGGCGCGACTAAAAAATCACCAAGTAGCAACTCTGTTCAGGTAAGATTCGTTGCGGCTAATTGTGATTTCGGCACATTTAAATGTTTGGCAAAATCAGTTAATCGAGCCGAAAACCTTTTCGAGCCAAATTTGTAAATTGTGATGGAAAAAATTGCTCGCTGTTTAAGAAATTATTTTTTCTAGTTGCACCAAATTTTCATCTCATTTGTGAGACATGTCAAGAATTTAAATTAATTGTACCATAAACGTAACTTAAGTTCTTGACATGTCTCACAATTGCAATGAAAGTTTGGTGCAACTGGAAAAAATAATTTCTTAAACTATGAGCAATTTTTTCCATCACTTAAATCTAGCGAAGCCATTACAATTATTGCTGGGAATTGCTTCGAGAACGGTTGTCCTTTGTTAACAGTTGCTCTTTCCTTCTTGTCAATGCCCGCGGTTATCGAGATCTTGAAAGTCGCGGCATTCCTTGAAAATTGGTGCGACTAAAAAATCACCAAGTAGCAACTCTGTTCAGGTAAGATTCGTTGCGGCTAATTGTGATTTCGGCACATTTAAATGTTTGGCAAATCAGTTAATCGAGCCGAAAACCTTTTCGAGCCAAATTTGTAAATTGTGATCGAAAAAATTGCTCGCTGTTTAAGAAATTATTTTTTCTAGTTGCACCAAATTTTCATCTCATTTGTGAGACATGTCAAGAATTTAAATTAATTGTACCATAAACGTAACTTAAGTTCTTGACATGTCTCACAATTGAAATGAAAGTTTGGTGCAACTGGAAAAAATAATTTCTTAAACTATGAGCAATTTTTTCCATCACAATTACAAATTGGGTTCGGAAAGATATCTTCGGCTTGAGTCAATAAATTTTCTTCTCAAAATCCCCAACAAATAAAAGTATTGTGTTGAGTAACAAATTATAGCAGCAAATTTTAATTAGAAGCTACTTGAAAAATGGCAGCCAATTTTTGCTCAAGTTTTGTGAGTAGTTGTTTTGCCTAACATTAATTTAGACAATTTGTTGAGAGATTCGGATAGTATTGAGGTTATAGAAAAATAACATGGTAAATGAAAAATTAGTGAGCTGGAAAAATGTATACTCGTTATTACTGCCTAGATTATGCGCTTATAATAAATCGATTCAATTTTATTCAGTCAACTAGTTGTGTTAAGAAATAAAAATTTTTATTTCCACAAATCAATTTGACTAGAATGAGTTAGAAACCTTTTTAGTGTCGACTGGCATTTATACTATAATGATTGCTAATAAAACAATACCAAAACTCAA